CTTGGGAACCTCCCCAGTTCGTCCTCTTGCTTCCTGTCTCTTTATCTGTCAAGCTGGTCTCAATTCAGTATCACAATGTATCCATTTATGAATTTCTGATTCATAAAGTTTGGTGCTACCTAAAATGATTTTTAGGCTGGGTGCAGTGGCTCACACCTGTAATCCCAGCACTTTGGGAGGCCAAGGTGGCTGGATCACTTGAGGTCAGGAGTTTGAGACCAGTTTGGCCAACATGGGAAAATCCCCTACTCTGCTAAAAATCCAAAAATTAGCCAGGCGTGGTGGTGCACACCTGTAATCCCAGCTACTCGACAGGCAGAGGCAGGAGAATCGCTTGAACCTAGGAGGCGGAAATTGCAGAGAGCCAAGATCACACCACTGCACTCCAGCCTGGGCAACAGAGTAAGTGAGACTCTGCCTCAAAAAAACAAAAAAAAAATTTTTTTAAAGATTTTTAATAGTGATGATTTGAGGGTCCAAACTGTATTGACCATCAGCCAAGGCCAGAACCTCTCAGATCCACAGTTTCTTTGTCGGTCAGATGGGAGAGAGTAGCAGCGCTTGGCCAGTGTTTACATAACAGCACTTGGCCAGCGCTGTGGCTCACATATACTGGGAATAACCCAATCAGAGCCCTAGGCGGAGGCAGCCGGCTCTTCAGCAACTACCCGATCATGTTAGTTATTATTCTCTTTTTCTAGACTGACAAAGTTGCATTGGCTTGGGTCAGCAGGATGACCCTCAGTCCCCCTCCCCAGCTTCAGTGTCTCCACCACGTCTCTAACAAGGTGCTGATACTTACACACCCTCATGGAAGGAGTGCTTGCTCCCTTTTGGGAAGCCCAATACCTGCATTTACTATCCTCTCCTTTTATGCCGGGAGATGTGCACCCACCAGTCACCTGTCATCTTGGATCTTCTTAGATATCCTGTACTTTTTTTTTTTTTTTTGAGACGGAGTTTCACTCTTATTGCCCAGGCTGGAGTGCAATGGTGCAATCCCAGCTCACTGCAACCTCCGCCTCCCAGGTTCAAGTAATTCTCCTGCCTGAGCCTCCCGGGTAGCTGGGATTACAGGCATTTGCCACCACGCCTGGCTAATTTTGTATTTTTTAAAGTAGAGATGAGGTTTCTCCACATTGGTCAAGCTGGTCTCAAACTCCCAACCTCAGGTCATCCGCCTGCCTTGGCCTCCCAAAGTGCTGGGATTACAGGTGTGAGCCACCGCGCCCGACCGACCCTGTACTTTAAATAACATTTGCACCCTAAGATGGGCACTCTAAGGCTCACAGTGGTGAGGTGTTTGGCTCCTCCATGCAGTGGTGCACCTAAACGGGTCTGTTGAATTCTAAAGTCCCACGGCCTGCTGCCTGTGGGTGAGCACGTCCTTTATCAAAGGGAGCCTGCTTCGGCCTCATGACACAGTCCTTCAGGTGTTTGAAGCCAGAGCTGCCTCCTTCCTGGGTCAGCTCCTGAAATGTGTCCCACTCCTCCCTTGGTCTTCCAGGAAGTTCCTGGAGTCCAGGCCCTCGTGGCTCCTCCTTGGGCCAGCCTCCCTGAAGTCACTGCCCTCAGCGGTTCACCCAGGCCCGGGAGCCCCAGCCCGCAGAGAAGCCGCGTGCTCAGCGGCCACAGCCACCGCCGCACCTCAGGCCTCCAAGGGCACTGCCAGGGTGAGTCCCCGGCTGGCTCCGTGCCTGCTGCCTGCTGTGGGACCCATGCCTGGGGAGCCACAATCAGGCCAAGCCAGCTGGACCAAGCCCATTTCCGGGCTCCTCTGGAAACGAGATGGCCAGCAGGCTTCACCAATCCCCTGGGTAGAAACGAGGCCTGCACAGCTGCTGACGGCCTGGAGCCAGGAACAGGGAAGGCACCTCGGGGCCGGCCCTTACCCTAATCCCCCGGGAATCACCTTGCTGCCCAGGAACTCGGCTTGGTGACCCACATGGTCAGGAAGCCCTGTGCCCTCTGACTCCTAACCACAGCCACCGTGAGTGGAGCCAGGGAAAGGGGAGGGTTGAGATTAGGGGGAGTGGTCGGTGGCTGGGGGCTCAGACCCCAGGGCTGCTCCTCTCCAGCCTTAGTCTCCTCATCTGTAGAATGGGGGCCATCACAGCGCCTCCGTCACAGGTGGTGGTGGTAATTAAAGGAGGGAGTGCACGTGTGATTGGACAGGCCGCCACTGTCTCTTGCCAGGATTCTTTCCCTACACCCCTCTCCTCTGTCGCTTCCTGCTCCAGTGGCCAAGGCCTCTCCAGGAGAACTAGCAGGGGAAACTCAAGGCCCCCCTTAATGCTGGGGCTCTCTCCCCACTTCCATCCTTCCCCATCCCTTTCAAAAACCCTCCTCTCGGGCCACACAGAACCACTATCCCTCCTCGAAACACCACCTGCTTTTGGTGGCCCCCTTGGCTGCTCAGCTTCTCCCCTCCTCACCATCCACCGCTTCCCAGGAAACGATCACAGATCTCTTCTGCCCAGAGCACTTGGCCTCACTGAGGCCCTGGGTACCAGGGTGCCCTTCTCTGCTCCCAGAAAGTCTGAGGACAGAGACCCAGGATATTCAACTTGTTTATCCAGAGTGACCATATGGCTTATCCCTGGGTCCCAGCGAACTACCGCCAGCACCACCTTCACTCTCAGAGGTGTCCTCATTGGGATGGTAAATTATATGATCACACTACAGATAAGTGCTTGTTGCATGAATACGTGAAGGTGGCATGTGAAAGGCGGGGGGGGGGGGCGAGTGGTGGGAGGAGGATAAGCGCTGGGGAGATGTAAGGACTGTGCCCCCCGCTGGTGAGGTCTGCAGCTCCTATTACAGGATCTCTTTGTTTTTGAAAGGGAGAGAGATAGGGATCCACTCTGTCACCTAGGCTGGAGTACAGTGGTGCTGTCACAGCTCACTGTAGCCTCACACTCCTGAGCTCAAGCGATCCTCCCACCCCGGCCTCCCAAAGTGTGCTGGGATTACAGGTGTGAGCCACCGCACCCAGCCTATTTAAGCTCTTTTTTTCCTTCTTTTTTTTTGAGATGGAGTCTTGCTCTGTCATCCAGGCTGGAGTGCAGTGGTGTGATGTCGGCCCACTGCAACCTCCCCCTCCTGGGTTCAAGCGATTCTCCTGCCTCAGCCTCCTGAGTAGCTGGGACTACAGTTGCGAGCCACCATGCCGGGCTAATATTTTGTATTTTAGTAGAGATGACGTTTCACTGTGTTGGCCAGGGTAGTCTCTATCTCCTGACCTCGTGCTGGGATTGCAGGCATGAGCCACCATGCCTGGCCCTATTTAAGGTCTTGAGGTCCTCCACTGCCCAGACACACTGGGCCCATGGGGGGCCCTGTCCCTTATGCTCTGGGGTCAAGCGGTCAACAAGAGTGGGAAGGCAGGGAGAGAAACAGGCAAAAGAGGGCCTCAAGCTTGCCCGGCCCACTGTTTGCTGGCAGGTCCCCGACTGAGGAGAGGAAAGGCAGGCAATGTGAACGGTGGATTCGAAGCCTGAATCCCAAGGCTGCAGCGGTCAAGATATCTTTTAAAACAGCCCTACATGGAGCTCAGGAGAGGGAGGCTGCGGTCTCCCCAGCAGGGGGCACAGCCCTTGTTGGTTGCTTCCCTTCTTCTAGGCACCAGGTAACTATTCACGCAGCTCATGATAGCCCTAACTTTTTGGCAGCCACTTCATATGCCTGGCTCCCATCAAGCCTGCAGCCCCGCAAACTCAGTCTTTTTTCATGCAGGCTGCCATTCTGAACATGTGCAGTTGTTTACTTGGAGATAGAGAATCCCCTGTTGCCAAGAGCGTCTAAGCCATGGAGGAAACACCAGTTGATATAGCGGCTTTAAGGTCCCTTCCAAAACTCACAGTCAGGGACTACATGAACACCACCGGCTAGAATAATTGTTGGCTGATGGCGGATAGAGTGGAAAATCAGAAAGTGCCAGGGCATGGGAAGAGCACTGGGCTAGGAGCCTGGAGGTTGGGCAGCTCTGAGTGACCTTGGCTATCTCTCCCTGCTCCTGAGTCCTAGGGCACCTGTGTTTAGGGCCCTTGTAGCAATTGTTCCATTATGAAATGAGGATCCTTCCCCAGCTCGGTGCCACAATCTCACCCTCATCCCTGTGAGGGAGGCCCTACCATCATTCTCTAGAGGAGGAAATTGAGGTTCAGGAAGGTTGACGTTTGCCTGAGGCCACCCAGCTGATTTACAGCAGAGCCAGGAGAGAAAGAGAGGCCTGTGATGGCAAGGTCATGCTCTTAACTACAGCACAGCCCATACCAGAAAATTCAGGTGCTTGTTTTCCCTCTCCAAGCCAAAAGGGGATGGGTGTCCTGGCCTCCTGGCCCCCCACTGTCCCCACAACACCTCTGCCCGCAGCAGGGCCAGCTGGCCACTGAGCCGTCACTGTGGCCCTCGGCATGGAACCAGGAGCCAGGTCACCCACCGATTGGTAATGGAGTGAGAGGACTCGGGTCTTTTTAGGGTACCAGGCAGGGCTCTCTGGCAGGGATGCTGGGGGCATCTGACGGCTGGGAGGGCAGTCAAATAAAAACCTCACCCTGGTGTTTTCTACTAGTTTGTTGTTGTTTTGAGATGGAGTGTCGCTCTGTCACCCAGGCTGGAGTGCAGTGGTGCGATCTCAGCTCACTGCAACCTCCACCTCCCAGGTTCAAGCGATTCTCCTGTCTCAGCTTCCAGAGTAGCTGGGATTACAGGCGAATGCTGCCACGCCTGGCTAATTTTTTGCATTTTAGTAGAGATGGGTTTCACCTTGTTGGCCAGGCTGGTCTCGAACTCCTGAGCTCAGGCAATCCACCCGCCTCAGCCTCCCAAAGTGATGGGATGACAGGCATGAGCCGCCGCGCCCGCCCCCTGCTAGTTTTTCACGGGGAAAAGGGGTTTGTTCCCACGCCTGTCCTGCAGAGGCCGGTGAGCTTGGCGGCCCGCGGCAGGTGGGGAGCTGTGCGGAGAGGCCTCGGGGGCCTGTGGGCGGCGGGACTTACTCGGGTAGCGATAGTAGAATTCGTTCTCCTGATCGCTGAGGTTCCTGCGCACCCTCCCGGTCCACCAGTGGGCGTCGGCCTGGAAGTCGTAGCGCACGAACACCCCAAAGAGAATCACCATAGCCCCCTGCAGGAGCAGGCAGGTGAGCGGCAGCCGCCAGCGGAGGTTGGTGTTCCAGGCCATGCTGAGGGGTGCGGGGCTGGGCTGGCGCTCGGCCGGCGGGGCTTTTGAGACCTGGGCAGGGGGCGGGGCAGCCGCGTGGGGCACTGAGCTGCGGACCCGGGAACCGCCCGCGCACTCGCCCGACGTTGGTGGGGCGGGGCGGAGGGAGGGTGGGGAACCCTAGCCGAGGGCCCCGGAAGATCCCCGAGTCGTGCTGGGGGACAGCTGCAGGAGCGGGAGCCAATAAGGCAGCTGGCGGGGCGGGGGGGATCCAGGAGCCCCAACTTGTGTGTGGCCCGTTCACCATGGGGCCTTTCTCCTTTTGTACTGCTGAACAGAGAAAAGGGGATCATTGGCCTCCCAGGGAGATCAGAATGAAGGAATCCCCAGACCTAAGCATCATCGTCACCATCATCATCATCTGCATCAGCATCTGTCCTTTCTTTTTCTGATTACGAAATTCACGCAGTGCATGTGGAAAACAAGCAATGGCTGGGACGGAGCCCCTGGGAGACAGGCAGCTCTCTGCGATGTGCTACCAGGCTTGATCCTGGAACAGAAAGACGATGCGAATGGGAAAACTGGTAAAATCCGAAGAAAGCCTGAAAATTCCCAGGTTGGTTCCTTAGTTGGGACAAGTGTGCTATGGTTACATAAAATGTTAACCGTATGGCAAACTGGGTAAGGGCTACATGGGAACTGTCTTTGCCACTTTTCTGTAAATCTAAAATTATTCAAAAATACAAGGGTATTATGGGAAAAAATGTATAAACGATTGTAAAAACAGCTTAAGAGTTTTTCACAAGTTCATTAATCTATGATCAGGAACTGTCTTTTGGTTAAAATCTGTGACCTTGATATGAGTTAACCATAATATTTAGGTAAAATCTATGCTTAGTCTGTATATTGTCAAAATAAATTAGATTTTCTAATTTTTCTTTAAAAATACAGGGATATTGTAGAGATTTTTGGAAAATACAGAAAAACACAAAGAAGAAAGTGAACACCATCTGTAATTCCACCCCCTAGAGGCAATACTGTATTTTGGTGAATGTACACTTGTCTTTTTTTTAGCTCATTGAAGACGGGCTAGAGGGGACGGGGGGAGTGTTTCAAACGATCATACTAATTTATAGCCTTTTTTAGTCCTTTAATATTTTGTAAATATCTTCCCATATTATTCTTCTACAACATTTTTTTTTTTTGAGACAGGGTCTCGCTCTGATGCCCAGGCTGGAGTGTGGTGGCTTGATCATGGCTCACTGCGTTCTTGATCTCCTGGGCTCAAGCAGTCCTCCCACCTCAGCCTCCCAAGTAACTGAAACCACAGCCATGTGCCACCAGGCCCAGCTAATTTTCTGATTTTTTTTTTTTTTTTAGTGGTGGGGGTCTCCCTATGTTGCCCAGGATGGTTTTGAGCTTCTGGGCTCGTGACCCTTCCACCTCAGCCTCTCAAAGTGCTGGGATTACAGGTGTGAGCCACCACACCCAGCCCGCCACAGCATCACTTTTAATAGCAGGATATACTGTGTTTTTTCTAGACAATCCCCTAGTGTTAGGTGATGAGCAATGAGGTCATTTTTATTTGTTTAGTATTATAAATAATGCTGTCATGAACATCCAGGTATGTAAGTCTTTGCACAACTTTCTGTGAATTCCTAGAGCCAGAGTTGTTTTGATACGTACGTGTAGATTTTCTCCCGGAAAGATTTTACCAAACAAAGCATGCACCCTATGAGTCAGGTGTCAGTGACTTTTCCCATGCACTCTTGCCAGTGCTGGCTTTAAAAATACTTTACCAGTTGAAATCCCAGATTTGTAAAAGCCACTAAGCCATGTATAACACCTGAGGCTAATCGGGGTGCTTGGAAGTTGAGTGTGGCCACACCGTGCCAGTGTGGGGTACTAGGATATTTCCACTCCCTTGGCAAAGAAACAGCCAGACACTGCATGAGCAATATCAGCAATAGGAGCCATGTATTTAGTTTCTGCAGTTGCCAGATTCCTTAGCTATGTTTGTTAATTCTCAACTAACCACTTGCAAAGTGTTTGGCAGCTGCAGAAACTTAATACATGGTCCCTTTGCTGATATCCTAGGTGCGTCCTGCAGTTGAAAAGCATGAGTTTTCAGATGGGCTAAAGAACCGGCTGAGATTCAAACCCTAAACTGTCCGATTTCAAAGGCTATAGTCTTTCTACTGTGCCATTCTGCCCATCCCCTCTGGAAGGAGCTAGAAGGAGGGTTTGTCTTCAGCCATGCGTATTCACTGCTGGGGAGAAAAACATCTACGTACAGGGCAATGCGAATAAGCAGAGGGAGGGAGACAAGGGCTGGGATGGGGGAGGCTGCTGCAAGATTCGTGGGCGTCTAGGTCCCACACAGGAGTGGTACAGTTGTGGGATAGAGAGCAGTGGGTGGCGTGGTTCCTGAAGCCCAGGCTGGGAGGAGGCAGGTGGAAGGCTTGCTTTAAGGATAGGGGAGCTGGGGAGTCATGCTCATTGTAAGAACTGCCCCCATCCAGTCTAACCCAGACCTTCTCCAGAGTCCCCTAGCACACCTGTGGTGCTGGAACCCAGGGGGCCCTCCTTGGGGGACTCCTTCCTGGGGCAGGGCACAGGGCTCAGGAGGGAGATGCTGACTGGGACCCCTGAAGAGGCTTCAGTGGGACAGACCTGGAGCCACAGCCAATCACAGTCACCCTCCCACCCCCACAGCCAGCACGAGAAGGCTGTTTGCCCTTGACCTTCCTATTTAGTAGACTAAAGGTACAAATGAGGGGCTTCAGACTACCAAGAGGATACAAGGTTGAAGGGAGACACTGTTATCACATGGCTTTTTTCTCGGGTTACATTTAGGTAACCCATATAGGTCATCATGAATTAACATTCAAAAACAAATCCCGGCCGGGCGTAGTGCTTCACACCTGTAATCCCAGCACTTTGGGAGGCCGAGACAGGTAGATCATTTGAGGTCAGGAGTTTGAGACCAGCCTGGCCAACATGGTGAAACCTGGTCTCTACTAAAAATACAAAAATTAGCCGTGTATAGTGGCACGCACCTGTAATCCAGCTACTCGGGAGGCTGAGGCACCTGACCCTGCGTGAGGTCCTGCCATCCTAGTGCCCCTGCATAATATTTAAGGAGGCGAGACCACAGCAGCAGCTGCTAACACAGCTCTGCAGGCTCTGCGGGCCCAGTTACTGGAGGTCCAAGTTGGAAGGTGGGCTAGGACAGGAGCTTTTGGGATGAGATGGACAGGGAGCACACCACCCTCTGAAGTCATTCATTCCCGAGGGGGGCCATGAACTCTGTTAAGACAGGGGTAACATCTGATTTATGTCTGTGTGAGGCACAGAAGAGGCACTTGGGGAGTGTTCTGGAAGGATGAAGGAAGGAATGAATAATATTCTTTGAGCACCTAGCGTATGCCAGCCGCTGTTCTGGGTGCTGAGACATGGCAGTGAACAAATGAAGCAACAATCCCGGTCCTGATGGAGCTGGCATTCTAGAAGGGTGGGGAAGGTTGGTGAATAAGCTGGTAGTATATACTTCACTTATCTACTGTGTTTCACAATAGGCAAAGCAGACAGCATGTGGGAAGGCGATATGTGCAGGGTGGAAGGGAAGAAAGTGGGAGAGAGGGGACCAGGAGTACCATGTACACTGAGTGGCCGAGGAAGGCCCCATGGAGGGAGGCAGGGAAATCGGTTCTTCTGCACATGCCCCAGTGCCACCCCGCGGCATTTTAATGTGACTGCCCTTTTCTTTTCTCTTCTTTTCTTTTTTTGAGACTGACTCTTCTTTTCTTTTTTTGAGACTCACTCTGTCACCAGGCTGGAGTGTATTGGCATGATCTTAGCTCACTGCAACCTCCACCTCCTAGATTCAAGCGATTCTCCTGCCTCAGCCTCCTGAGTAGCTGGGACTACAGGCATCCACCATCATGCCTGGCTAATTTTTGTATTTTTGTAGAGATAAGGTTTCACCATGTTGGCCAGGCTGGTCTTGAACTCTGGACCTTAGGTGATCCGCCCGCCTCGGCCTCCCAAAGTGCTGGGATTATAGGCATGAGCCACCGTGCCCGGCTATGACTGTCCTTTTCTGAACACCCCAGGCAGCTGTCCTTGGTATTGGTAGGGGCCAAGTTCTCAGTTTCTCCCCTGGGTGGCCAGTCATTTTATTTCTGGTGCTCCTAGGAGAAAAAATGGCCACTCTTACAGAAGCCTAAGAAAAATGTCTCCTTCCAGAACATTTTGTCTCCCGTTCACATGAGGCATGGCCAGCAGCCCGCCTGCCCACCTCAGGCCAGGCCCAGGTGCTCTGTGGAATGCCTGTCCTTGTGGATAGAGGGGACTGGGACTAGAGGGGCTTGATGAGCTGGCAGGAGGGTGGAGGTCTCTCTCCCACTCACCCTTTCCCAGCCTCCACGTCATGCGTTCGTCCACTGTTTCTTCCTCGCCCTTCTGCCCTTCTCATATCTGTCTGTGGTGTCTTCCTACATTAGAAAATGTCAGCATTCCAGGGCAAGGACACCTAGAAGAGACCCTATCTTGCAGTTGTTGGCCACTGTTTTTCCAAGTGAGTGAATGGATGAGTGGATTCTTTCAATTTATTCAGCTGTTTAAAACACATATGGAGCAACCACTGCACACAACTCCGTATCAAGCCAAATAGCTATGCAAGCTCCCCCACCCCCCAAGATTTGCACTATAGAAGAGGGGATACAAATTTGCTCCACTGGTTAAGGCAGAATGAGCACTTTCCTGTGTCACTGAGGAGCGCTTGATGGGTCCTGGGGTGATCAGGGTAGACTTCATGGAAGAGGTGAACTTTGATCTAGGATTTGCAGGGCAAGTGACAGGTAAACCTTCACCCTCTGCTCTTTGGCTTTTCTTGTCTCATGTACCCCCGACCGCATGATTCCAGGCTACTTCCCTCTTCCCACCCCAGCTTGGTACTTTAGTGGACAACCCAGAGGTGGAATTCTTGGCCTGTCTTCTGAGACCAGAGTTTAAGAAACCTGCTGCTCGTGTCTATCAGGCTAGGCGGGGGTTTTCCTAAGGAACCAGCCTCTTCCTCCTAAAATGTGTGTGCCTTGACAAGCAGGGATGACTGCCGACTGGGACGGGACGGTTCTCTCCCTGGCAGGGGAGAGGCAGGGTGTGGCGGCCACATTGGCAGGCAGGGAGGTGGATCCTGAGGCATAGGTGATTCAGACCGTCTTCCAGGCGAGGTGGAGTCCCCTGCGCTGGTGTGGCCGTGTTGAAGGCATGCTGCTGAGACTGACACTGCTGTCACCTTTCTCTCTACTCATCTCTCTTGATGGATGACTGTTGGCATCCTTGACAGCTTTGGCCTTGGTCCCACAAGCAGCCCGAGGCTGTGGCAAGACACTGGCCCAGGACGCAGAAGCTCTTGGGCTGGTCCCAGTTTCACAGATTTTGTCAGTAGGCACCCCCTCTCTGGGCCTGATCTGCAAATGGGTGCCTCCGTGTCTGCGCGGCTCAGCTTTCATTTTGCTGTGATGTTCAAAGGAGACCATGCAGCTTGTGATCAGCGCAGTGACCCAGAGGCTCTGGGAGGCCAGGGCTCCCATCCCAGCCCTGCCACTTCCTAGCCAGGTGACCCTGGGTCAGCTGCTTAACTCCTCTGGGCCTTGGTTTCCCCACCTATACAAGGGCAACAGGAGTTCCTGGGATGACTCTAATGCATAACAGTACTTTTAACCCCAAGCCTGGTAGGATGTACTTGATGAAGTGGCAGATCTTGTTATTTGCCACTAAAAATGAATGGGCGCCAAGCACAATGGCTCAGGCCTGTAATCCCAGCACTTTCGGAGGCTGACACAGGAGGATTGCTTGACCCCAGGAGTTTGAGACCAACCTAGGCAACATGGTGAAACCCCATCTCGAAAAAAACAAAGAGAGAAAGAAAGAAAATAAAGAAAAAGAAAGAAAGAGAGGAAGGAAGGAAGGAGGGAAGGAAGAAAGAAATAAAGAGAGAAAGAAAGAGAAGAGAAATTAATGAGAAAGTCTTCTGTAAATTGAAAAATATCACAAATAGAACTGGTGCTGCTTCCGTGATGGTGGGTAATGGCGCTCCCCTCTGGTGCTCTCTGAAAAGTCTGCGAGGGCGGGGCCCAGGAGAGGGAGTCCTACGCCCTCCCCAGAGTTGGGAATGGGATTAGGGCTGGGGGAAGGGGTTAGGGGCCCTGGGAAGCAGCTCTGGACATGCCTCCATCATCTTCAGTCCCTCAAAGCCACAGACTGTGCTGTCTCCCTGTACTCACGGGGAGATCTTCAGTGTAGGTGGCTTGTGGAGTGAGGGGAAAGGGTGTAGGTCTCTCTGCAAAACTCTCTTCCATGACAGCTTATGGGATTGAAAATAAGAACCGCAACAGTGGGGAGCCAGACATCACGTGCTGCTCCCTGATGAGCTGCTCCAAGAAGGACACAAGCCCGAACGTGCCGTTCCTGCCAAAGATGCATACCCGGAATTTAGTCATGCAGAAGCAGCAGACAAACCCAAACTGAGGGGTATTCTGCAACACAACTGGTCTGGAGTCTTAAAAAGAAATGTAGGTGTCATAGACGTCAAAAGAAAATAAAAATAAAAAACAAGGAGGGCAACACTTCTGGGTGAAAGAGACATGACAAATCCATGAAATGCTTTGATTGATTCTTAATTGGCTCCCGGATCAAAACAAAAACCTTAAAAAAAGTACTAGTGGTACAACTGAGGAAAATGAAGTAAGAGCGGTATGTTAACTGATGGGATTTATTAACGCAAAGTGTTTTGAGGGTCATCGTGGTGCTGTAGTTATGAGGGAGTCTGTTTTTGCCTCTGGGAGATACCTGCTTTAGAGGTAAAATGTCATATGTCTCCAACACACACAAACATATATCCTGAGAGAAACGAAACAAAAGTGGTGAATCCAGGTGAAGGGCTTATGCAACTTCACTGTACGTTTTTGCAACTTTTCTGTTGGCTTGAAAATTTGTAAAACAGGCTGGGCACGGTGGCTCATGCCTGTAATCCCAGCACTTTGGGAGGCCCAGGCAGGCGGATCATGAGGTCAAGAGATCAAGACCATCCTGGCCAACATGGTAAAACCCCATCTCTACTAAAAATACAAAAATAAGCTGGGCGTGGTGGCACACGCCTGTAGTCCCAGCTACTTGGGAGGCTGAGGCAGGAGAATTGCTTGAACCC